ACTTCCAGTGAAAGAGCTGACTACTACCACTGAATCAGCCATCAGAAATAACATCACAGCAGAGGCAGAAGTGGAAGAATTTAGGTTAGAAGTTATAGCAACCCCCTCTAGTGCAAGATTACCCACTTCCAACATGATCCAGCAGGGCAGCATGGCAGTTATAGTCTGTTATTTTATTTTTGTAGACGTTTGTTGGGTCCCCCATAGGTGTTAATGTCTATTCGTAGCATTATTAGCATTTATTTATAGTAGTCAGTTACATTGAGCACCACCGCTCATCTACTTTTGTCTGCTGGCATTTTTTTGAAGTAATGGTCTTTATTAAGAGAGATAACCTTCAACCTGAGGGTATTGTTCCAAATTATGACGCAGAGGAGAAAACACGGAGAGTTTCCGAGAAACTTCAGAGAAAGGATTTTATTTGTACCTTTCCAAAAATTATGTTTTTTACACATGCACAGTTTATAATACGTAAATGGTTCTTTTGTCATCTTCTACTTGTTTAATACTGTTTGATGAACAACCTTCAGGTGCATTACCGCCATCAACTGGTAGGAGGTGTATCTGCACAATACAGGGCTTAAGATTTATGCAAGTACCGGTATATCGTTTATTTCCACTTGATTTGGAGAATTTTTGCTTTGTAACATGTAATGGTAATTTCTAAACTTGTATTCTCACAGGTGAAACAATTGATGTTACATGTATGTAAGAGCTGACAAAGAACAAATATAGATCTTAAATGTGTTATTGGCTTTAATTTATAAAGACACCTATGGATGCCTTTATAATGACAGTTATCTTACCCCATATATTCTTATTCTTGACTTGTATGCTGGAAGTGGTAAATTAGCTCCATTTTTTATATTAGCAAACTAGTAATGAATGAAATAATGAATATTGCAGATGCTGGTGAAGATTCTCAATTATCCAGGTCACGGTGATTCCAAAAAAGTAAAAACTTGGACTTTGTTTCCAAGTTTGAAGATGTTTCACTTCCCATCAAGGGAGCTTTTTCAATTTAAAATGTCATAAATAGTGTTGAGTTTTTAATTCAAAAAGCTCCCTGGATTTTTTTTTTTCTTTTTTTGGAATATTGCAGAGGATTTTGAGGTAGAAAATGTCTGAGCTTTGCCTAATGAACTACAAATTGATAAAAATTGCACACAAAACACTTTTCATAGGATTTAAATGTACACCATAGATCACTTAGGGTCATTTTAGGTATGCAACTGGATCTTTTAAAGAATTGATTGCTACAGTAATTGAATGATTGACTTCATTGATCTCACAGTAGAGAAATGTACTGTTACATCAGTGCAAATAGTCAAAGAAGAACAATGTGCCAAAGTAAGAAAAAGGTGAATGGGATATATACAGTTTATAAAGAGGGTTCACATATAACAGCTTTTTTTATATACTACTTTTTCTTTATAGTAGGATCATTATACAGGGTTATTGCACAAGGTGTTTACATGGGTATTTATATAGATGGATATATATATATATATAGTTATTTCACTGGTGTCAAACATAGAGAAACATCACATATGGAGAAAAGGAAATATACTTTCAAACATGCCAGCAGTGATGTTTTTGTATGTTCAGAGTCTCATAAAAAATGTTTTAGTCTTCATAAATAGACATTTTAAAAGTTGTTCAAAATTTAGTGTACTTTTGTTTTCTATTTCAATTTTTAATGCCAGGAAAGGAGAAGAGACCGGTCATTACCCATCCATGTTCCTACAGAAGTCTGATAAGAAGAATGAAATAAGCAGGATAAATCTGCGAGGACAGAAACCTCCCCCACGCAGGTATGAAGATAGATTGCGTTTAAAACCTGAGCTTGGTTTATGAGGAAAGAGTTATTTTTTTATTTTTAAAGTCCATTCTTTAAAAATAAATGATTTATGCTGCAGCTCTTTCAAACAGCAAGGTGTTAGTTTATCCATAGTTCTGTTTTCAGTTTTGTGTTTTTTGTGTCACTTCTGATTAAATAAATTTCTTTTTCCAGGACTCTTCGACCATAGCGGTGCATTTTACTTCTGTTGACAAAAACTTTTCTTTATTTTCTAGAATGAATTATCATTAAATGATATTAATAAATCTACTCAAGTATTATAATTTATTCACTTGTGGTTACAGTCAGCATTCCCAACCTTCCACTGCTTCTTAAAGCACCTTCTGTCATCTCCATTCTTCCAAGGTCCACCATCAGAAATGCCAAAAGCATCCACGGCAAATCTCGGAAGAAGCTCAGCCAGGACGCCTATCGCAGGAATAGTCGACGTTACCTGCAGCAGAAAGGTGTCGCCGCTCCACAAAGGAACTCTGCAAAGACACCACTGAGGGAGAGGAAGAATGAAGGTAATGAAAACATTCTTTCATATTTACAGTGGCTTCAATCTAAAGATGAACCCATAATCTTTGTCCTCTGTTTTTTTTCAAACAGATAACATTCCTGAGGTTTCGGGATCCAGCTCAGAGAGTGAGGTGAAGA